CATACAAAGTCATATCATAAAAATCATTTTTCTTATTGACTTTTTGTGGGCTTATAAAAACTACATTATGACATAATCATGATGCCTATGAAAGGAGTTGCTCACTTGTTTCATTTCACAATTTTATATGTATGTATAGTTGTATATGGGGTATAATTAAATGAAAATATAAATTATATTAAGGATCATTAGAAACAGTAAAACATTATGAACCATATAGTGTTGTTTCATATTGTGAAACAAATAGAAAAATGTTAAAAAGTTTTATGCGTGAAATATATATATACACATAAAACATTTACATTGTGAAACAAACACATGTGAAATAATTCAAAAAGTAATAATGTGAACGAATACAAATGATATTGGTTTCACAAGTTCGTCAATTTTGAGTAGTTTTTACGGGTTGTATTATGGTTGGTGAGAACGGTATGAACACAAAGCCTTCGTTAGCTTTATCCATCTGCATTTATACGGTTTTACCAACCTTCATTTACTTTCACATATGTCATCAACTCATTCTATCATCATAACCAGTGGCGGATCTAGAATTTTTGTCTAGTTGGGACACCTTTAAGGTAGATTAAAGGTCCGCAAAATTGTTCGGTGTGTTTTTTGCCTAATTCCATCATTTCAAGGGATTTTAAAGATCTTTTGGTTGATTTCAAGATATTATAAAGTTTTTTTGTCAATTTCAAGGGACTTCTTCCATTTCTGTTGTTGCCTTTGAGATTTTTTTGGTTCATTTCAAGGTAATTTTTTTGTCTGTGGGGGCACATGCCGGAAATTACTGGGGACTGGTAGAAAGTTAAAGAAAAAATTGTTTTTAACCTAAGTAATTAAAAATTCTTTTCTTTAATGGGTCCATCCCCTCACCATTTGTATGCTACATCCGCTCGTTTATCATAAATGAAACTTTAATAAATTCATATATGTGAACCTGACCATAGATATATAAAAGTGATTAAATGTGAGTCAACAGATTAAAAAACCCATCCAAATGCTCAAAAGTGAAAACACTGGTCTCATTAAACTCATTTATTCTCACATAATCTCAATTATCTCATATGACTAGAGTTAAGTATTTACTAATCTATTAACTTTTAACCATGACCAATTATCGATGTTTAAACCGTTTAAATTCATGTAATAATTAATTTTAAATATGTGAGAAATGATAATTAGTTTATGGTTGCTTCTAAAATATCTAAAGATCTTGTTTATCTAATAAATTAATGGATTTTTTACTTGGTCACCAATATATTATTCAAAATCTTGTTTGGATATTTAGTTTTGTTAGCTCAAAAGTTGTTGTGAGTAGGTATAACTTTTTGTAATTATTATTCTCACAACTTTGTTATAAATTAATTAGTATATTTGTTTAAAGGTTGGGTTCCAAGGGAAGTTATGGCGAGAATTCAGATGCGTAAGAAGACATCTTTACCTTTGGATCAATCTTTATTGAATGTCGACACTAATGAGATGCATGCAGATGCAACATGTCAATTCCCTTAGAAAGCACAGTTCATGGGTGGACATGAGATTAAAAGTGATTAAGTGTTCATATCTCTTCTTACGCTTCTCACGTTAACTCTTTTTCCCACACCATCTTTTGTTATTTGTTCAATTACATACATAAAATAACACTTAAAGCTTAAAGTAATCAATTTTTAAGTAATTTTTACTTGTTTTTTAAAGAAAAGTAATCTTTAATTATTAACCTAACAACATGATGATAATAATAATAATAATCACTAATCCTACCATATGTTTTTGTTATTTGTGAGGCATAATTCAGTTTCACATTGCAGAAGCTCTAATTTGTGTAGTTTTTCACTTTTTTTTTACTTTTGTATAATTAAGAATTTGCAATTAATATGTGAAAAACAAAATTGTGGTGATTTAACTGGTGTTTATGGAAAATTTGAGTTGACAAAATTATAATTAGCAAAAAATAATCTGGAACATAATTATTGCAAGAAACCAGTGGGAATACTGTAAAAGAAAACGACCCTCAATTTTGTAGTTAGTATTAATGTCATCAACCACTATTTTGACCTAACCACATACAATTATTTATATGTTTATATATATATATATGATTTATATGTATCTTCATCCAAGATTATTTCAACCATTTTTTCTACAAATACTTCCATTTGATCATGTTCTTAATCATTGTGGTCTGATACTCGTGCTTTTAGATGATCATTGAGAGATTGATATCTAAAAGCGTTTGGATTTCAAAGTTAGAGGTGAAATATTTTATTTACTTGATGTTTATTTTCTTGGTGGTTATGGTGTGGATGGAAATGGTAAAGTGATGATATTGGAATGGCTCAATCAAATCAAATCTCCCAGATAGAACACTAGGGTATTTTAATTTGATTGAGCCGTGCCAATATCATGAACTACTGCTTATTCAATTGTGTTTCGTTATTCGATTTCGAATATATATATAATATATATATACACGGTTTATGTATATATGTTTTTATGCTTTAGGTTTGATCTCGTTAAAGGTTTAGTGTTTTTGGACAATTCTATCTTGTTTCATGTTGTTTTGACAATTTCGTATGATTATAACTCTTGGGTATATCTATCACGATATTCATCATGAATAGTGGTTATCACGGTTCTGAAATGGACCTGCCCCCATGTATGTATGGCACATTTTGACCTAACAATTCTTTTCTACTTCTACGACTTTTGAGGTCACTATGGTATATTGGTTATCTTAGGGCAGACCGATCCATGGTGGCTCGTGGGTTGCCTCCCTGATGAGAGAGCACACATGATGTGTTCTCAGGAAGATGACTCCTGGCCACCTGAAGCAACCCGCCCTTCTAGTCAAATATATTGTTTACCTGCATATG